TCAATATATCTTTTCACTTTTCTTTATTTTCCAACTATCAATAGCTAGAGAAAACAGATAATACTTGGAATGAAAGGAAAAAATTATTAAAAGAAAGAACAACTATCTACCTCCAATTCAATTAATTGATCCTCTTCCTTTATTCCAGAAGGGGGGGGGGGTTGTTCTTTCTTCCCAGCCTAGTGGATCAAATTGAAAAACTGCTTATCCTTCTGCCATTTTTATATTGTATTTTCTGCTATCTTCGGTGTCTTTTCACCTCCTCTTAACGAGGAAATGAATGTTCTGCAACGGAATTGAGGTAAATCTTCTGTTTTACATCCAACACCAATACCTTATTGTGTAGGGCTTAAGAGATTTGTCACAGCCCTTATTATTTCAAAATGCTAGTTAACAAAGTGATTTCAGTGTCATGGCACTTTAAAAATTTTGGCTTATACATGTCTCCATTAAAGAATACTTATAATTTTTTGGCTTATACATGTCTCCATAAAAGTACATCCTCAATATATCAATTTGAAGCAATATGTAATCCAAATGAAAAGTAGTTACGTATGGTGTACCGGTCTTTGTATTCTTCACTTGGAGGTTCCGGCACATTCACACAATAAAAAAGTTAAAAAAGATGTTTGCGAAGTTGAGAAGATGGAAGGCATTTCTACCTTCAACATCCAAGTCGCCACACCCTACACCACGTAAATGTCTTGCAAGCTCCTGTGTCTTCTCATATGCCACGGCTAGCAATCTGAGATACTGAATGCACAAAAATGAACAGCAAAAGGATCAATTAGTGGGTCCTTGTTTCCCTGTCAATCAGCACCTTAGAAGAAAATCTCTTGTCATGTTACTCACTAATATAAGTCCACCTTCTTCCATGGGAGGTGGACTGACAAGAGACGGCTTCAGTAAAAGTTTCTCAAGAAGCTTTGGAACACGGTCCTCCAAGACACGCTGAACAACCACCACAGATTAGTCACTAAATCACAATTCACAGATCACAATACATTTTTTGCAGTAACGCATTTAGGCAATCATTTTACTTGAATGGCAACCAGAACCGATACAGAATAGCAGATGACGTGGAGGAAGCTCAAATTAAATAGGGAGCAACGTTACAGAAAAATCAATGAATATTCATCGGAAAGCATGTTGGTCATATAACAAGTCAAAAACTAGCAAAATCACTCTGATATACTGGAAACATCATCGCACCAGAGGAAGATAATTCTAGAACTAATCTACCTCAAGCACAACGCCAGTAGTAACCCACCCATACCTGAACCAGTATTGACATTACATCGTTTGGGGAAGGAAAAACGGCTGCAATAGTGGCTGCTTCTTTCCGCACAGTCTCTGAAAGTAAATCCAAGGCGTCAGGAGGCATGTACTAAAAAGAGAACCACTGTTAGATTTTCGGATCAATTTGTCATTGATAACCTGTAATCTCTTTATAAATTGAAGAAAGACCACGCGCGACATTGCTAGGGCTGGACTGGGCACCCTGATCTCCAAGAACCAATTCAGCATCTGCATTCATGACCTCGACATCGAACATTGGACATAATCCCACATAGTGTTGCATAGCACTGGTACCCCTATTAAACTGCTTTCCAAAAGTAACACGTCAAAAGCTGAAATTATTCTGTTTTAACAGCTATCGAGAGGACCAGAGTGCCAAATGCTCTCTGGCACATCTTTCGAGGTAGTAAAGAACATCTCTTTTCCGGCGTAATCTAGCCTTTCCGACGTCTTTTTTTAGAGTCTTTAATTTTAATCATCCTCCAATGATTAATCTTAAAAACTTTTTAGTTCATTATGGGTGATAACAGGATTTATTTTACAGCCGGGCTCAAATCTTATGACATTACTAAGCTTAAATCAAGAGCAGAAACATGGTTCGAATGGGTGGAAAGGAGCCGTAACCTCATGCGTAGATCAACCTTCAGCAGGAAAACTATGGAATGGTTATGCTTTGTCTTTCAAGAAGCCTCAAAAGATCCTGGTACGTTCATTAGAAAATGGCAACTAAAGGAGCAATACTCTGCGTTTTATAGCTCCAGAAAATTCAACAAGTTTGGAAGATTTATTAGCATTGTTACTGTCCAAGATGTCAACAGAACAGTGACCATTATTCCAGAAGTTACATTTAATGCGGGATGGAATGAAATAGCATTCAAAATCAAGAACTTCATTAATGCTAGCAAAAGGCCATTTATTACAAATGGTCCCAAGATGGCAGACCCCAAAATTCCATATGCTTCCTCTGTCAAAGTCAGCAAATGGCAGTCAAGGGAGTGCGATGAAGTTCAAGTCACACACGGCCCCAGCAATAGAATATTAATCTCCGAGAGTGAGGTTAACACAGATGAGGGACTGCTAAGCAGGTGCATTCTTGGAAGTTTTGACAAAAGCTTGGATGAAAAACCAACTCTTGCCGACATCCGGCGATGGTCAGTGAACACTTGGAAGAAAGCTTTTGGTATTGATGTATACGAGATGGCGGGCACAATTTTCTCTTTCAATTCCCCAACAAATACATGGCAGAACACATCCTCAAAGGGGAATGGAGGTGGAAGCGAGCAAAAATACGGTTGGAATGGTGGTCGCCGACAGTCGGCTGCTGTTCAACTAACCAAAAAAGGGATTGGACTTGGATTAGAGCCACGGGTCTCCCAATGCACTTCTGGACCGAGCAAATCTTCAAAGCCATCGGAGACCTCTGTGGAAGATGGCTAGAAACCGAGGAAGAAACTTCCTTAAGGAATCATCTCAAATGGGCAATGATTAAAATTAGAGGTGATGGGGAGAAAGTACCGAAGGATGTGGTGATTGTTGACAAAGGAATAGAATTCACTATTCCGATCTGGTGTGAATCTCCGACGAGGGTGGCTACTGGAGAGGAAGACGTCGTTAGAAGAAGTCTGTGTAATGACCAATTGACATTAACACCCTATCAAGAAGTACAAAAGGCATATAGGGGCTTTAATGACAGGGTAGGTCACGTGGGTGCATCTATTAATGTGCCATTTTCAAAATCTGATAAGGTGGATGTGCCAGCTGATTGGGCCCAAAAGTCCTCACATCTATCTAAACCCACTATTCAGAAGAGGACCCTCGGCTCCTTTTTTAATGAAGAGGCCCAATTTCTTTTTTCGGCCCAATCTACTTCATCTCAATGGAATTTAACAGACCCTCTATTCGATGAAATTGAGGCAATTTCTCTCTCCCCTCACAATGGTGCTCTTTCTTCAGAAGCAAAAAAGATCGATGAAAAAGTTCTTCCTCTCTCAATCACACAGGAGACTGAGCAACAGACACATCATGAAGATGGAGATAATTACGAAGATGCCATGACTAATATTGAGGGCGAAGGAATTTTATTTGACGGGGTGGGAGGCAGTAGCGACATGCAAGTGGCAGTGCAAATTGAACCTGAAATCTGGGCAATTGAGGATGTTGAACCTCTGAAGATGCAACCAGTGTTTTAAAAGGCGTTCCTGGGGCGAGCCCTGGGACGAGGCGTACCAAAAACGCCCCGAGGCGATGGTGGGGGGCGAAAGTCCTGTAAGGCGTACGCCAAGAAGTTCAAGGCGTACGCCCGGGCGAGTTTTTTGGTTGAGGCGAGGTTTTCGGTTGAGGCGTAAGCCCAAGAGACATCTTTTTAAAAAGGAATTAAAAACGTTAAATTTAAAAGTAAACTTTTTAATATTGCTAAAAGCCCTAAATTAGAAGTCTTTCCACTAGTCTGCCTCTACCAAGAGCAATGATTTATTTTTTTATTTTTTTTGCAACAGAAAACTTCATTCTTCTCCGTAAGTCAAATTCAACAGGTTTGTTCCTTCCTCCATGTAAAAACATTATTATTTTGAACTCATTACTTTCCTCTCTTTTTATATTTCACTGTTAGTTTGTAAATATGTAAGTAATTAGTTTTTTAAGTTCAGTGTTTCTCTTGCTCTCTTTCAAAATATAATATGGGGTTATATGTATGCGTGCTTTTATATGTATTGATTAGATTCATATATAATTTCATTTATTTATTTGGGATTTATAATTTCATTAGATAATATGGGATTTCACTTATATATAATTATTTGGGATTTATATGTAATTTCACTTATATAATTTCACTTTATTTGGAACTTCTATATAATATATATATATATATATATATATATATATATATATATATATATATATCACTTATTTATAGTTTTTATTAAAAATTTTATGCAATTTTACCTATTTAATAATATTTTTTATAATTATATTATTTTATAAAATATTACAAAATTAAATACCCATGGGGCTTACGCCCCGCTGAGGCATATGCAAAATGCCTCGCCTTACGCCCGCGCCTTTTAAAACACTGGATGCAACCGCAAAGTGACGAGTTAGAGGGGGAGATGGAAGCAACCTTATGGGTTCATCAGAATGTAATTAAACTCAGCAAACAATTTGGGATTGATTTCCAGGGATGTGAAGAAGATGCCTTGGCTTTATTCAAGAAGATCGATAGATGCAGGCAAGCAAAGAGGCAAGAGAGAGAACCAGTAAACACGGTGAGTCCCAAAAAGAAAGGCAAGCCAGGAGTTACTGATTTTCGACATGAAGTTCAAAAGTTCTGGGGCAAGGAACAGGGAGAAAGAAATCTCATTAATCGATCAATGAATGTGACAATCATTTCATGGAACGTGAGGGGGCTGAATCGCAGGAAAAAGAGAAGGGTGATTAGAAGCTTGATACTCAACTGGAAAGCTAATGTATTCTGTTTTCAAGAAACGAAAATTGAAGAGGATATAGAAGGAATTGTCAAAGAAATTTGGGGGGGCCAAGGGTATTAAACATGGGCAATTGGAGGCCAGTGGCACTAGAGGTGGTATTTTAATTTTATGGGATAGTAAGGTTTGGAAAGGGGAGGTAGTAACCACGGGTGCTTATTCACTGACTTGCAAATTCGAGTCACTTTTTCAGGACTTTAATTGTTACAGGAGTTTATGCTCCTAATTGCATCAGAGAAAGAAGGAAAGTGTGGTGGGAAATAGGGGGTACTAGAGGTCTGTTCACAGGACCTTGGGTAGTTGCTGGTGATTTCAACACAATCAGATTTCCTTCTGAGGAGAGGAATGGTAGCAGAATAACCAAATCTATGACTGAGTTTTCTAACTTCATTGAAGACATGGACTTGGTTGATCTTCCATTAGTAAAGGTGTATTGTGGGCCGGGACCGCACCGAGCCCGCGAGCCCACGGGCCTGTTCAAACGGTCCGGTCCCAAACGGTCCTAAAAGCCCACTGTGGGCCGGCCCGCTAGGTTGAGACCACGAGCCCGGGACCGTTTAGCCCGGGACCGGCTGGCGGGCCTGGGACGGTTCAAACGGGCCCAACAGCTATTTTTCAAAAAAAAAAATTTAAAAATTGGCCAACGGTTAGAAGTTTAAAAACTAGCCGTTGGCCTGCCAATTTAGCCGTTTGGCTTTTTAAAAAATAGCCATTTGGCCTCCAAACTTTGTTTTAACCCCAAACTTTTTATAATTACACATTTTCCCTATTCTCAACTATAAATACCCCCTCATTCTTTCATTTTTACTCACAAAATCATCAATCCCTCTCTAATTTTCTTCTATAATTGCTTATTTTATTATTGCAATTTGTGAAAAATTGTGAAGTTGGTGAATTGAAGTATTCAAGTCTTCAAGTCTTCAACGATATACAATTTTCAAGAAGTTGTTCGTCAATTCGGTAAACTCGTTCCAACTCTTAAGTTTTAATATTATAGTTTTGTTTGTTTTAGTTTGTATAATTATAATTAATATGGCCTTTTCTTTGAAAAAAATGTTTGGTGGTAAGGGAAAATCTAAAATTGGTGAATCTAGTCGCCAAGCTACTACTCCTCCCACGGCTCCCGACCCAGACCTGTTACCCGTCCTCCTCCACCTATTATTCTTGATAGTGATAACCCTTGTTTTCAATTACCGATAGTCAATTTTGCCATGATGTTGCACCAGGTCAACAATTAAATGATAAATATATGACTGCTCTTTATCCTAATGAAACTATTGATGAAAATAATGAGAAAAATGATGATTTAGATGAAACGCAGCCGGATTTAGATGATACACCTACTAGTCCTGTTGTTAACCCAACTGATAATAATCCAAATGATGCCCCGCCTGACCCTCCTGTAGTAACCCCTATTTTTAATAGACAACCTTCTAAACGCCCCGAAACATCTCTTGTTTGGCACTTTTTTACTCAACTAAGAGAACAAAATAAGGCTAAGTGTAAAACTTGTGGGTCTTTGATGGCTCATAAATATACTGGAGACCGTAGCGGTACGGGTAGTTTAACCAGACACATAAAGAAACACCCTAGAGATAAAGCTAGATATCTTCAAATGAAAGCTGCAAGAGGGGAGAAGTGTAGGTACTGAGGTTAACCCTAGTACCAGGTCAAATCTAGTTCAACCGGGAATTAACACTGTTACCGGTGGCATTTTATATTACGATCCAAATAAAGATCGTGAAGAATTGGCAAAAATGGTTACTGTTATGTGCTTACCCTATAGTTTTCCTTCTAACCCTCACTTTGTGCATTATATTAG